TGAAATACTTAAATTGAATATTTGAAGATAAATCCTCAATCTTCATAGTTAGAATGGGACCCCAAATTTGGCCTTCCTGATCTTGTTCAAAATAGTTTCGCAACTAAAGTAAAAAATAACAAACTTTTGAAAATGGCATTCGACGCAGTCCGGTGTGCTCTTTCAAATAACACTATTCTCAAGTTGACCTATTACACTGATTTGACTAACTTGCTTTTTCTATAGAATCTTGCTTTCTAGAAATGGTCTATAATACTAACTTAAAAATATTACACAATAAGAAACTTTCGATACTATGAAAAGATCGCCCATCATCGATAGTATCTATGATAAAAAAATCTCTATTATAACTCCTGTCATTGTTGAGAAAATGAAACTTTACTGGAAAGTATTGCACTATAGGATACCCCAAATGAGACCCACCCTCTCATACTTGTCTCATCTATATCTCTGGAACAACTCATCCGTTTGAGCTGAAACTTTTAGTTTCTTCCTAGCTCTGTTAGGCCTACCTACTGTAAAAATATCAGTCAAATCGGTGAGATCGATTGAGCAACGCTGGGCGTGGCTTACGTGCAATGCCTCCATACAATGGGATATTTATTTTCAGTCTGAATTTATCAAATAAAAATAATACTTGATTTCAAACTGAAACGTGAGTCTAGGAGTGAGGGGGGGGGTGACTGAGGGTGTGGGACCCACACCCACACCCATACTGTGGGTGTGGGCAAGCGAGTGAGTGTGAGGGTGTGCTTGTGGTTTTGTGTACTATAGGCTTTAGTCCCCTGCACAGGGGACTAAGGGTTTTTAGTGAGACTACGTAGTATCAACCGAGAAACGTTTGATTCGGAAGAAATCGGTGTGGTTTTTTTTATTTTCGAATTCAGTTTGAAATAAAAAAAAGCCCATAGACTCAATGCCTCATAGGTAAATAAAACACTTCGTAAAGGATTTTTTTCAACAGTTCATGTATGCTTCGCATTTCAAAAGTAGACAAGCACAGGAGGATAATTTCATTAAAAAACTAGTATTTCATTCGTAGCATTCAAATGATTGCTTACAATTGATGTTTTCGATTCTGTTTTTTCGCTTGTGATATTCATTCTTAAAACACACACTTCAATGATAGTTCTCCTCATATTTTTTCATCCTGACTAATTGTTTCAGTTTCTCGTTTGAAATCGGTATCTTCCTAGAGATACTAATTCAATGATTTTCTCTAGTAGTTGCATCAAATTACTTCTACGCAGTAAATATACGATAATATCGACCGTCAACAAATTAGAATTGTAATAAAAAATCGAAGATGAGACAGGAGCAGCACATAAATTTTATTAAAAGCCTACCTGTGGACTGCTTCTGGATAGTCAGTGATTCCATGCTAAAAAAAGTAAACTATTAGGCTTTTCGCGTTTTCAGATTGCTTTTACCTGACAGTGACCGATGAAGCTGCTCCCTTGCTATTACTTCCACATGTTCCCATTGGTGGAAGCGTAATCTAGAAATAGACAAAGAAAACAACACTAGATATTTTACAGTGTGATCATGTTTGATTAAGTCGCTTGTGGTCCAAGTTCAATAAGTTTAACAGGCGAGTCGATTTCTTTCAGTTGTACTATGCTGATATCAGAACCTTGTTGAAGACATGCCACAACTTGAAAGCACCGAGCTGCTGGTAAAAGAATTTCGCATTTCCTTGGAGAAGCCGAATGATTTTTAGTATCTTGAGGATGTGAGTGTGGGGTGTGGAGTGTGGGTGTGGGGTGTGGCGTGTGGGTGTGGGGTGTGGGTGTGGGTGTGAGGTGTGGGTGTGGGGTGTCGATGTGGGTGTAGGTGTGGGTGTGGGGTGGGTGGTGTGGGTGTGGCTGTGGGTAGGTGTGGGTGTAAATGAATAGAAGACTCACACACTCACACCCCACACCCACCCACACCGACACACTCACACGCCCACACCCACCCACACCACCCACCACACACCACACACCACCCACCACACACCCACACCCACACGCACAACCACACCCACACCCACACCTACACTCACACCCACACCCACACCCACACCCACACCCAGACCTACACACACACCCACACCCACACCCTCACCCTCACCCACACCCACCGACACCCACACCCACACCCACACCCCACCCACACCCACACCCTCAAGACAATTTTTCACACTAATATAAAATGTGTTGCAGACTCAATGATAGAAATGTGTTGTGGCTAGAATGAGCAGCATTTATATATTGTTTTCCTTCAGTCTACTGTGTATTCGTTCTACATTTTATTTCGGACAAATATATACGTATAGACAATACGGTTGAATAAACGAAACTTATGTATTTTCATATTAATTCTTTAGATTAATTCTCGATTATAATTATTTCATTCGCAGACATGCCGACCTTGATCAAGGACGAGGCAGGATTTTTCTCGGGCGGCTTGATGGAGGTCGAATCAGCTCGATTTTGGATAAATTCTAAAATCTGACCTACTTGAGTTTTCAGAATAGGAATTGTAGAATGCAATAAAATCGAAAAATATTTCATGTTTTCTTTTCAGAAAGAAACATTCAAAATGCGCTGTATAGCAAAGTCAACCGATGTTTTCAAAAATGTGCCGCAAAAAAGCGACAAAGGTGACGCATTTTATTGTAGCAGATATCGACGAGAGAGAAAAAGGGAAAGAAGAAAGGAAAGGATATACCAATGAAATAGTTATCGTCTTTCATTAGGTCAGAGTATTTTCCAGTATATTGATCGATGAACTTCAAATCTTTAAACTAATATAAACAAGCAAAGACGTGCCCTATTGTTGGCACAGGTTTGTCTGTAAAAAAAGCAGAATACCTTGAGATATCGTAATGCACGACTCTTATATTTTCTCCTAATTCGATAACTCTTACCTTTAAACAATTGTGTATATTTTTGAAAACCGTTAGCTATCAACCACTGACAGACTTCGTTTATTGACCAGTTCGCCATCTTGAGGGTATGGGTGACATGCGTGGATTTGACTGCGGATGGCTCGATTAGGCGCGAGTGGATATTTGCCTTATTTAATATCCAATACCTGCATGCCCACATCCACGGGGACAACGACATCCACACACACAGGCACAGCTGCATCACTTATATGGAAATTCTTAATCGGGAAAATGTGAGAGATGCTACGAAGGGAGATGTGGCATCTCCATGTAGAGAAGTGTGTGAGATCCAGGATCTCTACTAGAGACGCGGCATCTCAGCAACAGAATACACATGTCGGTGAAGGTCAGGCTAAAACTTGAAAAGTGTACCATTGGGAGAATCTTGCAGACGTGGACGCGGGAAACAATTCGGCTGCCTCCGGAAAAGGACGAAGGATGTGACATTTGTAAGCTTGATGCGTACATCATTCTTCGTTGTTTCGCAATACGATAGTGTGTTGTTCGGAGTTTAGGTTTTCCAACATTTTCCTGGTCTTCACCAGCATCTCTGAGTTCTTGAATAGGTGATATCTTGGTATAGAAGGCATGTTTGAGAACTTCGATTGATGATAGATGGTGAGAGAATTTAAAACACTGCGTTGCTATGAATTTATGATCGGTAGTTTCAGAATATTCTGTAAAATTCTCATTCTCACTTTCAACAATAGATGATACCCCTAATTGCTCGGCGAGTTGAGTTCCCTTATCTTTTACAGTCGATGTATAACTGATGGAAGATAAAGTTAAACAACGTCAGACTTTACGATGGTTGGAATAAAACACAAAGAATATCTGCCGAAACACAATTCAATCCTGTATTGTTTGTTCTGAAAACACGCTTGATGTATTTGTGTGACAGCAGCAACTTTTGAAATAGTCGATGTACGTAATGGTGTATGAAATCAAACAACTGAAAACAAGTGATTCCACGTGAGCTCTAGAGAAGGCTTTTTGATGAAAAAACAAAGAAGGCACTCTTATTCGTACGAAAGAGAAGAACGACAACAATCTTCGAAAAACAGTGAAAAGAAAGAAGCAATAGACACACTGTTATGTTAATAGAAATGACGACTGAGTGAAAAGAGCGGACACATATTGCACACAATGCTTCACACTACTAATGTGAAATCATACTTTCTCTAAATAATACTTGTGAAATCCAACACAGAAACAGATAGGTTGAGCGCTCAGCAATCAGCTAACTCTACGAATTTTGCTAATTCCGATCGCCCTTTTTCCACTGGTAGCAGTCAGAATGAAAGTACAACTTCATTTAGAATGCAGTAAATCATGTTCGAATGGTCGACAGCATCATTTGTTCTACGCGAGTTAGTGTGAGAGTGTGGTACGTATCCCATCCTTCCAGCTAAACTCTTTCGATGAATAAATCACAACACATTACTGTGCCAAGAGATGCACCAATACGACATTTCACTAAATGTTTTTCACTTTATCATTTGTATTTCATAATATCCTCACATTGTATTACTCTTATTTCACATCATCCTTGTATCATATTTCTTGTCATCCTTGTGTATCATCGTTGATCAATACGTGTTCAATGGTGTTGTAATTGTGCTCATATATCTCGTTCGTCCTTTATATCATTGTAATTGTCTGTGATATTCTGGTCCTTATCAACGATTGTTCAATCGTGATACTTTAGTCTGTATATTCTCACCGTTCTCTCTCCCTTCACTTGGTTAGAGTGAAAGAGAAAAGAAAAGATTAGAACAGTCGATAGTAGTACGCGGTAAAAGTAAGATTGAGCAAGGATATACACAGTGGTGTATAGCTTTGTATGAAAAAGAAGAGTAGTGTGGTTCGAATAAACGGGCAAGTGATAGTGACAAGTAACGAAAGTGTGCAGAATTCAACAGACATTAAGACCAAGTCAAGAGCTTAGTGATCATTTTAATCATTAACCTCTCCACGATCCATTTATATACACATTTTTTCCTTACAATTACTCTTTCCATTCTTCAACTATTCATATACGTGAGTTATTCATAGTTTTGCTTTGTAGATGACCACTACTGCTAAAACTGATGTTACAGCAACAGGGGCTCCGAATGAAATTCGTATGATTCTACTTGGTAGAACTGGAACAGGTAAAAAGATATTTATATCATCCATCACTTGATTTTGTTACATATTACAGGAAAGAGTGCATTTGGCAATACAATACTTGGCCAAGAAATATTTGATCATGACTCTAACGGTGATTCTGTTACAAAAGTCTGTGAACCTGGCACTCGGGAATTTGATGGTAAACGGCTTTTTGTTGTTGATACGCCTGGTTTTCTCGATACATATATGCCTGAAGAACAACTGCATACAGAAATCTCCAAATCATATCAAATGACAGCTAGGCCAGGACCACATGTGTTTTTTATCGTCCTAGACCCGATGGCGAGATATACACCGCAAGAATATGCGGCATTCAGTTGTGTTACTGACATATTCGGCCCGAAAGTTGTAGATTATACGATTATTATTTTTACTAACAGCGATCGCCTTTCTCAAAATGGAAAGACCATAGACGAATATTTGAAAAAATTAAAAGACGGCCCAGAACATCCCTTAAATAAGCTTCTTGATAGATTTAAAAGACGTTATTTAGCAGTGAATAACCGTGTAACACCACAAGAAAAAAATAGTGTGGTAAAAACTTTGATCCATATGATAAATGAACTGCTTGGTACACATGGTGGTCAGGTATATACAAATGATGCATTTGAGAAACTTGCTCACGCAATTGAAACTGCAGTGTCTGAAGGAACTTACAAACCATTTAACGCCGATGGATCTTTCGCTTTACTTCCTCAAACAAAAGCAATAGTTATCGATGGTTATATAAAACGAATGTCTAATCGAAGGACATAATCAAGGCATTGCTCGTGAATAAACGGCATGACTAGTTTCAATAAATTCATAACACAAATCGAAATCTTGTTTCTAAATTTTCTAGAGAAATATAGACTGTCCGGAAAGTCTCTACAAAAAGGAAGGGTGTGGTTTCATAGTGGATGTGGGTGTGAGGTGTGCATGGGTGGTAGAAGGGCGTAGGTGTGGATGGACGCATGGGGATGTGGGTGGATGGATATGGATGGGGATGAATGCATGTGAATCTAGGTGAGTGAATGCGAATGTGCATGTGTATGTGGGTCACGATGTGACTTTGGCTGTGAATACAGATGAATGAGGGTGATCATTGACATGAAGACTAAATACACACCTGCAGCAACAGCGACAACGACCACTACACACACATCCTGTGCATAGGAGCTTATTTTTCCTGTCTGCTCATATTCACAACCACGCACAACCACACCCACACTCTGAACTACATAACGTACTTCAATCAATGTATTCTCTACAATACAAATGAGATGAATTTTTTTGCGACGAATTGTCCTAGTGCCACTACACCCACACACATTCACATCCAACAAAACTCAAATGCACGTATACCCAAATGTGAGCTTTTTTTCGCGAATTGCACAATAAACAGATGAAAGAATGGCAAAAAAAATCTGTATTGTGCAACTTGCTTTATAGTGACAGGTAATGAGCTGACTACTTTAGAGAGCATGAAGATTATGTATTTTTCATATGAGAGTTGATCGAAGAACAAAAATGCCATTAAGATGATGATGAGTTCTCTGCTTTTATAGAATAATAGAAGTTGCCTTGAATGTAAGCAGCAAGCAAAAGAAAAAATATTTCATTTTCGAAGCAACAAACACTCTGTCACATTTTATTTTTTATTTCTCACAGAACAACTTTCCGCACAGTGAAACGAGAATGGTAAGATGTTATATCGTGCGTTATTAAACTAAGTTTTGACGGTGCGTAGTGTCTATGGCGATTGAATTTACAGGTATTATACGAAAATGTGTTTGCTGCCGATACATAATTGAAAATATACTCTCTGTCCAAGATTTGAGTATTTAAGAAAGTTGACACACATCTCCACTCAGGTGTCCCGACAGACAGACATGCTACTTTCGTCTTAAAAAAATGTGTCTAATTTTATATATAGTTTGTTTCCTTTGTACAAATTTTTGACCTCAAAATTTTTAATGGACAATCTTTTTTCACAAAAAAATGAAAATATTGTGAGCATCTGAAAAAAAAATCATACACTAAATGATATTAAATGTTTTTTTCGCAAAATATTCATTCTCTTTCTGCTGCAGTGATATGAAACTTTTGGTTACAATGTTCGATCTTTAATTCAACATGTAATTCTATTTTACTTTTGTAAAGGTATGATGATGCTGTATTTTTTAGTCGTCACTACAAATTTCTAAAAAAAAAAGAACGACAGTTATCTAGAATAAGGGTTTTATAAATTTGTTTGAAGTATGTTTCTAGTTGTTCAGTAATTCAAATTTCTCGTGTATACTGTTCTAATTAGTTTAACAATTGTACTTTCGATTATATTTAAACTTTCACGAACACAGATTGATATAGAATGTTGAAATAAAAAATCTAACTCAGTACACAAGTAAAAACATGAAAAAATTTATAAAGTCGTAACTCTAGATAACTGTCATTCTTTTTTACAAATGTATGATGACGACTAAAAATACAGCATTATCATGCCTTTAGGAAAGTAACATATAATTACGTGTTGAATTAAAGATGGGTGGTTGTGACTAAAAACTTCATATCGATGAAGTAAGAAGAAAACAAAGGGAAAGTACGACTATGCTCATTATGAAATGGTTCATATTTTAGTCTTTCTTGACTCAATTCTATGAAAGTACTAATTGACGAAAGAACAAACATTTTGCGCTGAACCTCAATATTCACTATTCTTTAAAATAGTTGAACTCACGGAAAATAAAATATGTTGCCTCAAGAGTTAAAATTCCTTCGTAAAAAAATGTATGTATGTAACAAGAAGGAAATTCTATCTCATATCCTGATGAATAAGCTCTTGAAAATGAAGAAGGAAAAATTTTACTCGCAGTCATTCAAATGGATAGATGTATCCAAATACTTTTCTCCTTTGTAAAAATGACACATGTAAAACATAACCTTAAGGTTCTAACAATAAAAACACGTTAGCATACGTACCATTTTCAGTTAGTAATTTTTTAAACAAAATATTGTACCATTGTTTCTATATGTATGAGCCCGCAGTTCTTTTAGGATTATCTTAATTAATACCATGAGAAATCGTACTAAAAAAATATGTGGCACTTTCTATAAAAAAATCTCTCCAGCTTTTTTGCAATAAACTAGTCTAGTTCTAGAATTAACTTAAATGACGAGTATAAAACAAACGAGATATTTCGAGAAAAACTTCTCCAATGAAAGTGCTGTATGTGACCAAGTCAAGGTCGAGATAAGCTACATTCACACGCTAGGGGAACCAAAAAGATGCGCGCGGCGAAGCTTGCGCACGGAGACTCTTAGGGCTCTGGCTGAGGCTGTGAAGTGCGAATGATGGTGGGGATGTAAGAGAGAGTGAGGACGAAGGTGATGGTGAAGGCGGTGAACTTGAAACGGTTCGTTCTGCTTCGAAACCCTCATTTTCCGTTCCGTGCGCAACTTTCGTTGTGCGCATCATTCGTAGACCCATTAAAAAAACACTTCTTTACCTGTAAGTTTTATGCTAACAAAAAAATCGTAATTGAAATTAAAATAGAGTAGAAAACAGAGTTTTTAAGCAGAAAACTTACCTGAACAACTACTGTTTCGTATATTACATATTCCACGGAGAGATAATATCTGATCATGCTAAAATTCAGGTCAGATACATGCACATGTATATCCTTAAAATGGTAGCAACGTTAGCTTATGAAACCATTGCCAAGATACTTTGGAAGATTTCCAAAAATCCCAGACGTCTACTAAGAAATTCCATATTGACCACCTATGTTGATTTGTATAAAAAAACCAAGATGATATTCAGAATCAACTCGTTCAGTTATATGAACTATACATCCCCCTGGCCAAAATAAACGAAGCACCTTATGTTCACGTTCTTTACACTTTACAATTGTCTTACAGAGTTATTTTTATAACACAGATATATCCTTCATTACTTAGCTTTTTCTAAAACCTACAGCCCTACACGATGAGAATTCGTTGAGAGAACTGTAATAACATTTCATGCAATCATGTAGCAGTGAAACGAAAATCTGTTGTTTTCTTGCTGAATTTTTTTTTGTTTTCAATAATACCAACTTTTAGTACGTAAATTATGTTTTTTTTTTATTTCATTCTCAATTTTACGAGCCTTTTTGGATAAATTTCTTCACAAAACGCTTCGAAAAACTCGATTTATTCAACAATGACCATTTTTATTGAAAACAGAATAAAAGCAAAATTCAGCAAGAAAACAACAGATTTTCGTTTCACTGCTACATGATTGCATGAAATGTTATCACAGTTCTCTCAACGAATTTTCATCGTGTAGGGCTGTAGTTTTCAAACTAAGCTAAATAATGAAAGATGTATCTGTGTTATAAAAATGAATCTCTAAGACAATTGTAGAGTGTAAAGAACGTGAACAATAAGGTGCTTCGTTTATTTTGGCCAAGAAGATATATAATAGTTTTAAAAATATTTTTTGATGAATGTTTGACGTATATTCCAGTCTGAAGACCAGCCATTTTGAGCTTTACGAGCTATAGGAAGAAATAACGTCAGATGAAGTAGTAATTACAATTATTTGTGCACATATTTCCTACTGTTGGACATAGCGTCAACTGGTGACATTTTTTCTTCTATGTTCTATAGGGCTTCTAAAAACCACGATTTTCGGTTGAAGATCCGATTTAAGACATACATATGAAGCTCTAATTGAAAAATAAATGATATTCGAAATCAACACATTAAACTGCATGGAATGATATGAAACTCAAATAACTTTTCAGAAAGAGGTTTTTTTTTAAAAATGAGCAGCTGCTCTCCATGGATATTTCATCACAATTGTTTTGCAAAAAGCTTTTACTTCCCCAACATGATTTCTTAGATTCTATATAAACATTTCTGAGCAAGAAAGTCACATGTCCGGCTGCTTGTACAAAAGCGCCTTATTGTGTGCTTAATGTGTTGAAAAAAGTTTCACCTCGATCAATCGTATTAGCGTGTAGAAACAGGCGCTTCGGAAATTTCTTTTTTCTTACAAAAAGGTTGTTATGATAAAGACGCGAAACGATGAACAAGGCTTAGTATATTTGTAGCGTAAATATCAATTCTTGTAGAAAATTTTTACTTTTTACTGTAACTTCAGGGCTTCTAAATATATTTCATCGACAGGTACTATTTAAGGCTATCAAATGACCACAAAACCAAAAGTGAAAAAGAAACAAAAATCGTGTGGTGGGAAAAGTAAAAGAGTAATCTTAAAGGTAATGAAATAAGATAGAGATCCAGAAATCCAGCAAAGATTTTCAATACTTCAAAAATCTTGCGTAGGCTTCCGATAACTACATCAGGATAAGTTTGCACAGGTGCTAGATTTTCCGAAATGTATGACTATCTCACTTGATCTCAGACAAAAATCTCAAAGCGGTTGTAATTTCATGGATTTCAAGTCCTCCACTCTCTTGAGTGCAAAATCTTTACCATAGCCATAGTCTTCAAGTCTCTTAGATCCAAAATCTTCTAATTTAGTCATAATTGTGATGTACGATATGACGATCTTTTTTGTTAACAACGTTGAAATGACTCTCTATATCATTATCTCGTTAGTTTTGTGAAACACGATCTAAAAGAGAGTACGGACGTATTTAGAGATAGAAAATTGCACCCCACCACCCTCCCACAGACCGTAATCTACGTCTTAGTTCATTAATTAATTGGTAGCTAATTGGTTAATTACTCATCACAGATCATGACTGACATCGTAATTAATTGATGTT